CTTTATAGTCTTCAATAAGTTATGTTAATATAAGTACTTCTAGAAACAATTATATTAGCAACCACATCTTTTAATATTTTACATATGTATATACAGTTAATAATACAATGCCATTTTTTGTGTCTGAATGACTTTACTCAACCAATAACCACCTTTTCTCATACACCTTCCTAAAACGTATAATCTTTGTAATATTTCGCAGTATTTTTAACATTATATAAGTTGAAGGGTTACTTTGCAATATGTTATGCGCACCGTATGAAAATGGGTCATGAAAATTTAGCATAACTAGCTCTGTTAACCGGCTGTTTTCTTCAGGATCATTATACATAATTTTATCACTAATTGTTCGGCTACACTTTTTACTCTGCTAAACAGACTACAACTTAGTTGCTGTAATACTAGCTACTTCTATATTTCATACTTCTTAAACGCAATTTCCTAGGAGTTTGTTACAAATATATTATTAATATTATCAGTACTATTTTTGAGTTGAAATGACTATCTTCAGTCAACAGTTACCCATTTTCATATAATTTTCTAAAAAATTCATATTGTTGAAATTATGTAGTATTTTTCCATTATACAATTGATTAGTCACTTTGCAATGTGTAACGCACACCATATAAAATCGGTCGTGAAAATTTAGCATAACAAGTTCTGCTAACCAGTTGCCTTACTCAGGACCATTTTACATAACTTTATCACTAATTGTTCCACTACTCATATCACTCTGATAAATAGAATATAACTTAGTTGCTCTAATATTAGCTATTTTTATCCTTCATAACTCTTAAGGGAAACCTAATTTCTTAGTCTTTTGTAGTAATCCACTTGTTCACTAGTATGATGATAATACTGCTAACAATGTCCTCTGGTATTATTGTGCCATGTGACCTAATGGGAAGCACTTGTCATGAAAGCTGTTAATGTGCAGCATACTGTATGATTGGGACAGAGCCAAAGCAATCCAATATTACAAATCAGTCATTGTAAAAGGTCTCAGAGCTTAATGTCAAAAAAGGAGGGAGTGTGGTGCATGCTGATCAGCAGATTTGGTAGTGGTCACAAATGTGAATCGCTCCGGTCTGTAGGACAACAACATGCATTATTTTGGCAGCTCGAGAATTAAACATGAGTTTAGATACTAAATGTATAAAAACATTTTAAAAAATTAGACTTTAAAAAAATTTTTAAAAACTAAAACAGTAATGACTGTACAGTTTTAGCTGGTAAAAAAATAATGCTTTCTCTCCTAACATCTACAAACCTGCTCAGTTTCTTGTCAAGATGCTATCTTTTGGGCCATACACAGGTTCTAATCCTTCTAGCCACTTCGCTCTAAAATGTCACTTATATACTTCATGATAATCCTTCTACCCAATTACTATTATACTGTATTTTATCTCAACTTCCTAGGACTTTAATGAGCGACTTTATTGCATATCCCCTCAGTGACGTTTGTCTCGATGCTGCCATTGGTTTCAAGTGGCCTTGGTTTCGGGGCGAGATTTAACTGGCATAATATTGTGATTTCATAGACATATCTCAGGCTCATACGTGAAAGAAAGTTATTATCCTGTAATAAGGAAAAGTTGTTCAGAAGGTAAGGAGGACGTTATTTTTTAGTTTATTTGTGTATATACTATTGTGCACCGAGTTGCATTGAGTTCTTAGTGCAACTGTGTGTAACTGCATTTACATAAAAATGAAACATTAGGAATGCTCCTGTTTCTAGAAGAGAAACATTATCATTATCATTAAGTTTAGCAATGAAGAATGGAATTTCTTCAACGTCAATGTTATTTAATTGAAGTTGTAATCTGTGTAGGCCCTCGGAGGAATAAATTCGGCATGGAAATCTCCTGTGTAAATCGAAAGTGCTTTTAGTTTAGTAAATCTTACTGACTTCCTGTATAAATTAGATATTTGTCAAGTGTATATTTCAAATCTGCTGGAGTATTCAGTAAAGTAAAAGTTGTGGTGCATGATTCCAAGACTTGTTGTAGTCATTGGTATTGCCAGGATACCACTTACTCGTTTTATGCAGCCGAAATATACAAATCTCGCTTTATTGAGGAAACACTCTAAGGCCTGCAAAAGTATTGCGTTAGTTAATGAGTTTCATAAATTCTACAGAATGTTTTTTATTCAGTGATTACTGTTTGCGAATTATCCGAGAAAACACAGTTCCAATTGGGATGTAACACAAGGCTGAATTCTTAAACTCTCATCCTTATATCATTTCAATCCAATCACACATATATCAGTAGGATAGTCTATAAATGACTTAAGAGACTTATCATAATCAACTTACAGTTTGCTGATGATACTGTACACCTAGACTATGAGAAGTTACCCCTGATACTGGAAAATATGAAAAGAATACCGGTGTTTGATTATAGGTGTCTGTGTTCTATCTCATGATTAAAGCAGTATAATATCGCGATTGCTCTTAAGGTTACTCATAAAGTGTTAGGTGAGGAGGGTAAGTTAGTCTTCAAGGTTGGGAAGCTGAATAGGTTGAGATGGCTATAACACGTGATTGCATACCAAGCCATCGCCTTCCTCGAGGGATAATGTTAGCCAGCACATGTCAAGGTTCAAAATGTGTTTGGGTCGGTCGAATGAAAAACTGCTATTGGTTCATAAAATCGTTGAGTCAACTAGAAGAACTACAAGATATATGTCTGCAAGTCTTTGTTTATGGCATAGATGCATTCACTCTGTGTAATCTCACGTATCTATTCAACTCATGTTGTCACTATTTATTTTCCCTCAAATTTTCGCTCGTTAAACTTCCATTTAGTTTTATGTCTCTAATTTTGTGTGGTGCATGGAATGTGGTAAACTGAACAGTTGGACTTCTTTGCAAAGTCATACTGAAAGTCAGGCAGAATGACACAGGCTAGGCATAACTAAATGCGAAACACTGAATAATGGTCTCCAGAATGTCAACAAATGATAATTGTAGTTCTTAATCTTGTTCTTTGCTAAATTACTCGGGACCGAAAATGGTGCGAACTACTCCACTAGATGTAATACCCTAGGATTAGAAACACTATGGCTAAGACGCCTGAGACTAAACTTAACACTTTACTATAAGCTTCTAAACCACTTAGTTTTTACCTCTACTAATGGCACTCGACTTTCAGATGACAATGGCTACAAACTAAGACACACTAAGGGTACAGTAGCTATCGAACAATGTAAAACAGCTTCCAGGCAAAAGTTTTACTTGATTAGGTATGCACAGATATGGAATAAACTACCAATGGAAATGCGTCAAGCAAGTACATTGGCCTCCTTCAAAAAGGTGCTTAATGACAAACTACAAGAGTTTGCAAACGATAGTAGTTCTAGTTCCTATCTGAGAGCCTCCGAAATTATAGGACCATTTAATGTATAAGCTTAAGTACTACACCTGTTGTTTTTTGCCTATATTTATAATTCTACATAAAACATTAACGGTTAAGATACGTATCCTCAAACAGACAAGAAATCTCGTTTGTCAAACTACTACCCAACACAATAAGTGGAATAAAATGGACATAAACCGACAACATGGAAAAGGTATAACTCACCACAACATCACATGGACAGATGTGCGCTCGTTGGGCACCATATATCCGTCACCAACTGCAACCCACCTTTCCTTAGATAATTTAATATTCCCAACTGCTGTTGGAACAGGTGAAATTCATAAACCCTTCTCATGCTAAGAAAATACCCACAAGCAATAGAAATCCAATAATTAATGCGTCTGAAGCTTGTGTATTTACTCCCAACAATGACATTGCAGATCAAATGAGATAAACATATCACTGATTTCAAAATAACACATCAATGAACTATAATTCAAGGATTCTGCACACAACAAAGTTATGTATGAAAATTGACTTCAAGCTTTATTTTTTTCCCAGGCACTTATAATCCATCCACCAAAGACCTGGTTGTTTTGGTAATGCGAAGACAACACTTCTGTATTTCCTGATGTGTTGCACTCACTGACAATCTAGCAGATTTTTCCAACTGTTCACAGAAATGATTGTATATAAGTGAAAATGCTGTTATATACTACTGGGATTAACATTTATCAAGTGTATGTAATATCTCCAGCAGACATATAAAGCATATCATGTTGCAGCGTGTAAATTGTGATTGAATTATATGATTCTATTTCTGTAACAATTTGATGATGCCTGTAAACTGGCGTCCCCCATGTACTGTACTATGAGAATAAATTTATTTATTTATTCATGTGCGTAAAGAGGGAATATATTATTGTAAGACGCATTTTATTGTTTTATGAGGGACTTGACTTCAAGCTTTATTTGTTTTCCTAAGTATCCGTAATCCACCCAACGCATACTTGGTTTTTTTTGTTAATGCGAAGTCAATATCTCTATATTTCTTGATGTGTTCCATTGAATAACCCGTTATCCGATTTTTCCCACAAACTGAAGATAAAATGACAGCAACCATGTTATTTAACCGTATTCCATGTAATTTAAATATGTAACTAAAATAATACTTATCCATGGCTTTACAACTTGTGTCCTGCATTTGTAGGAATAATTATGTACCTTATTATATTATCATTAGTGACTATACTTACTATTCGTATGTGTAATTTATCGAATTGATGATGCCTGTAAATTGGCGTCCCTCATGTACAAAAATGAGAATATATTATTATTATTAAATGACAAATAAATACCTTTCAGGAACATCTTCATCCACCCGGGATTCGTCTCCTACTTTGCAAGGTAGTCTTTGTGCCCTAAATATTCTCCAGGTACAAGTAGAATTGGTATAATCCACTTGGTGCAGGTATATGCCGTCACCACCTCTCCATATTTCCGATATAACTGAACCTGTGATTCCAGGGCGAAGCAAATTCTGCCGGTTATCCCTGTATTCGAATCCACGTATTTAACCACCTGACCGCCTTGCCTTATTATGCGCATGACATCTGATCTCAAAGGCATGGCTTCAAAAATAACTTTAAACTACTTCAATTACCTGGTCTCACATCCTTACGTAAATTATACACATCTGTGCTCGTCAAAACTTTATTAAAATTCTCTTCAGCATATTCCAAAACATCAGCAACCTCAGATGTAGTCTTCACAACTGGTGCAATATTCTCGTTTTCATCCCCGGACAGGCGTCTAAAATATGGATCACCTATCATAAGACTTTTTTCACATCTGTGATTGTGAACTGTTTTCGCGGAAGAAATGATAAACTCGTCCTCCTTGTAGCGTATACGAAAGCCAGATTGGCAACCGGTGTATTTTGCACTGCAGAAATAAATAATAGAATTCTTACGGTTTGACGCGTAAACCTGAACCTCTAGTTTTTCGCTTCATGCTATATGTACAACGAAAGACTACTAATTTGTACTTCAAATCCTGAGATTCATGGTCCCGTATGCACTTTTTGATTACATAATGTGTATGAGTTGCCTAGGAATACTCTGTCATACATATATACATATATTACTGATTCCAGCTGACTTAGAGCATCTTCTACTTGAACCCAACTGGTATACCGGTGACTAAACATAATTCCGTCAAAAAGGTTTTTGATATCCGCTGATATAAGAAGGGCAGGTTGGTCGCCATTGTCTCCAAGTGCCAATGCGTCCATTCGGTACTACTGTAAATGAAAACAGAAGCTTGTCAATAAAAAATTCATGAATAGCCAACAGAGTACAGTAAGCAACTTAAAAGAGACATTGACTTGGAAACTATAGCGGAAAAAAATATAAATTCCTTACCACAGTTACCGTTTTGGAAAGTTCCTGATTTTAGCCATAAACATTTACTGAAACACTCGTGAACGACAAATATGGACACAAGTGATGAAACGAAGCTCTACAGAAATCATTGAGACGCCACAAACAGGGGGATTTTAGGTGCACCCTATAATTTTCACATGAAACACATTCTCAAGCATCCTCCTGCACCATAACTGCCTTCAGGCCTAGAGGCAGCTTTTGACGACTATTCTTAACAAAATCAATACGGTTCAAGCCAAACAGAAACCAGAATCACGTCAAATGCAGCTACCTAGATCTAACGGAACAAATCAGCCAAACTGAAATCAACTAGACCGCGCAAATGTCCTCAAGGTAAAGCTGGAGGCGCCACTTCAAACAGGGGATATGCCTTATCAACGCCCGACTTTAATAAAGCTGAAATTTACTCTTTTGTTTTCTTTTTTCTCATTCACACTCTTCTCTCGCATAAAGTTCGGTTGCTCTGATGATAAAAAAACATAACAACAGCACTCATGTTTGAGAATGACTATATTTTCATAGAAAACGTCATAGTTTTCCATGGTAAGACCAATATGGTTAGCATCATACATTGCAAATGTGCACTATCATATCAAGTACTGTATCGCTTATTCTTGTATTTTTCTTGTAAATATACTTCCAATAATGTATTATTCATGATTGCATTTTATACCACTTTGTAGCTGTGCAGGATTTTCTCCTATTCCTGAAAGAGCGTCCAAGCACGTGGGGTCACAGTACTCACTCAAATATATGTTGTTTATTGATAGGCCATTACTATCATCAGGAAATGGAACGAAGTATGGGTTGTCGCTCAACTTCGATGGAGACCTTCGTGAAAGATTTACAAATTAACAATTATAAGAATTTGTTCCGATTGCTTGTACTGTAATTCAACAATTTTAACTTTTTAAAAAAGTGATAATGTATGCTAATTCACAAGTGTAATTCGTAACATAATTGATCGTGCCTGTAAAAATGGCATGCATTTCATGTAAACTTACCTGTTTATACGAAATATAAATTATTATTATACTTCACTACTGATGACCTCTCGAGAGCTTTGAGCATCTTCTACCGGAACTCAAACACATGCTTAGTTGTTGCCATTCCAGTCCGAACGCTAACAGTTTCCCCACATAGAAAGTCATTTATAAGACAAAAGGATAGTACGAAACTGAAGAGACTCTCGACATTTTAATTCAAAAACACCAGGACGTTGGCACACTAGGTTTATTGCTTAACGCTCCCAGCTCCATCTCACAAGCTCAAGATTTCAGTTTGAGAAGCAAAGAACACACCGCAGTAGTCAGCCCTGCTGGGGTGTATGCTCTCACAGAAATCCTAAAGAAGAGATTAAGTCGCCAAAATCCCGGCATTTCTCTCCTCATAGACATAGGTAGACTATGCACTGATTCTGCAGACATGTATGAATTATTCAACAAAACATTTGCAGCTAACTACCTTAAACCTACAGTCCCGTTACTCGGTATACACCCTACTACTAATATGGCACCACTTCCTTCTCTACCCACACCGAAACAAATTAGTGCCGTTGAGAGTGAGCTATCGCGCGAACTTTGAAAAGGTAGCGAATTTTACACGCTCTTGTTTGGTTTTGTCTTTTGTTGTGTTATACGCTACAAAAGTCTATAGATTAACTTCAAATTCTGATCGAAGTTAGTTTACGTTTCAGTTTTGAGTCTATTTAATTATAGTAAGTTATGTTCTTATAACTTTATAGTTAGATATATCCATTTTTGTGCATTCATTGGCTTTTCATCACTGATTCACAAAGGTTATATATATAAAGTCATATTTAAATCGTTTTTTCCCAAATCGCTCTAAAAAGCATGCCGACCAAAAAGAACCGCTGTGGAAGGGTTATGTGCCAATTTCCAGTGGATGAGGGAATGGACTGTGATAACTGCGATAGGTGGTTTCATAGTATGTGCACAAACCTAACTCCTGCAGCATGCAAACGTTGCCGCAAACCTCCGATGAACTGGCTGTGCAAAGACTGCCGCAGTAGGACTAAGTTTCGTATAGTCGAAGCCACTGCAGCTCTCATTTGGGTTTCGAAACTCCTGGACTGCGAGGGTCCTCCACCACAGGAGAAGAGTGACTACTGCTCAGACAACGATGATGTAACTAGCATCATCGACAAGACAATATACGTTTCTGATGCGTCTCTGTCGGAGAGTGAGTACCCTTCAGCACACAAGAGCACCCACCATATCCAGACACCTACGATACCGGACAAGCTCTCCAGTGACAGTAATGGAAAGACTGGCACGAAGAAGAGGCGTACCAGGGATCGAAAACCTGCAACTCAGGTCGCTTAGGGACTGATCGATCAAGCCTCATTCACACCGGTGGACAGCAGGCAGATAAAATCGACTACGATCAGCAAGGAGGACGCCAGTGAATGGAGTGATGTAGTCTCTCGCAAAAAGCGAGATAACGAAAACACATCGGCTACACTGCCCACGAGGGACAAAAAGACATTTACGCCGTAGAGCAGGAAAGTCACGTTCGTGACGACTTGTACCAACCAGACCGGGTCAAAATATAGTCTGCGGCCGTGAATTAAGAGAACGACGTCGAATCGGCGAAAAGAACATTAAGATGAAGGGATTTTTGGTTGTCAAAGTTCGACGTTTGATGATCCCGAAACCTCTGTGGGCAGGCCGAGGAAGCACCAAACTGAATTGACCGTTTGCTACACAAATGCTGACAGCCTGTTGAACAAACGGACCGGCATGTGTAATATGAAAGACTCCGGAAATCCGGATGTAATTATCATCACAGAGACATGACCCACGCCTGATGTCACTGACAACGAGGTTAACCTGCCAAACTCCGAAGTGCATAGGGTGAACCGACTAAACCGCAGAGGAGGTGGCGTAGTCATCTTCCTCAAGAAATGCTTAACCATGGGAAGTGTCGAAGCACTCGCTCACGAAAGTAAGTCGTGCGAATTTCTACGCTACAGACTTGAATTCATAGGCCAAGATATTGACTTTGCTACCATACACCGCAGTGCTGACTGCAGTGCAGACGACTTCCTAATAGAGAAGCTAGGCTCCTGGACTTCGAAATGTCGAAATCTCGTAGTCAGCGACTTAAACGCCCCAACAGTTAACTGGACAAACCTGACAACACCATCTTCAGTCAACCTTTTTGATCATAAACTGTTGCAACCTAGTATATCGCTATCCCTAGTCCAACATGTCATTGGTCCTACGCGCTGGGACTCACAGCACTCCTCTTCGACTCTGGACCTAGTGTTCTTCCACGGTTAGGATGTGGATCTCATACAACATGTCCCTTCTTTTAGGAAGGAGTGATCGTGTTGTGCTCATTTTCAAGTTCACAGCAACAGCAACAAGGCCCAAAACCCTCGCCCGAACGAACGTTTATTAAGCTGATATAAACAAGATCCTCTCAGCAGTCAACTGAATGAACTGGTAAATCAACCCAGAGTCTCAAGTAGAAGCCGGATGGAACCAGTTTAAACAACACTGCTCACAGCTAACTGAACCTTTCGGTCTGCCCGAAAGGGTCGGAAACATTGTCCACCTTGGATAAAACGAGTGATTCATAAACTTCTCAGACGTAAGCACAAATGTTGGAACCCGTTTGCCACACTTCAGACTCTTGAGACCAGGAAATTATATAACACTGCTAGGAGCAAAGCCATTGCACAAATCCGCCAATCAAGGATGAGGTTCGAAGCACATCTGGCTCAAAATACAATGGCACAACCTAAACAGATTTTCTCATACATGGATTTCCGGAATGAAACATCCGGTGCTGTCCCAAACTTGACTATTGACAGTGACACAATCGAAGGAGATCAAGAAAAAGCAGAATCAACGGCAGACTACTTCTCCCAAGTCTTTACACAGGAGTCGTCACTCCCCATAAGATTAGCTCTGGCTGCATCAGAGGAACACAGGATAGATTCCGTTGACGTCGACCGAGGCATCGTGTTCAACTGCCTGACGGAACTAGATGCAGGGAAATCAGTGGGTCCTGATAATCTTCATCCAAGGCTTCTCAAGGAGCTATCAGCTCACATAGCAGGCCCACTGACCACGATCTTCAGGCTGTCTCTCCTAAATGGAGTGTTACCGCGTGACTGGAAAGACGCCACAGTAACCCTCATCCACAAAGGAGGATCGAGACAAAGCCCTTCAAACTACAGTTCTATTAGTCTCGCCAGCACTTTAATCAAGACACTAGAAAGAATCATCAAGAAAAGTACCATGGTGTATCTGGAAAACAATTTGTTATCCAGAAAACAGCATGGCTTCCGAGGAAATCGCTCATGCCTGTCAAATCTTCTCAATGCAAGAGAAAGCTGGGTGAAATTGAGGGATGAAAGAAGACCCATTGATGTCATCTTCACAGATTTCAGCAAAACCTTCGATAAAGTTCCCCACAAAAGACTACTCATGGAGCTGGAAAGTCTTGGTATCAAGGGCAGATTACTAAACTGAATTAGGGAATTCCTCATAGATAGGAGGCAGAGGGTCAGGATCAACTCGAAGCTCTCCTCCTGGAAAACTGTATCCAGACAGCCAGTCCTTGTCTTGAAGGGGACTCACATATTCTAAAAGGGGTCCTCGTCATGACTAATTTATCATTCGTGGAAAGACTAGACAGTTTAAATGTCTTCTCCCTATCATACGGTAGGCAGAGAGGAGACCTAATTATACTGTATAAAATTACAAATGATGACTACTGACCTGACCTATTCTTTCTTTTCCTCCCCACCAGGTGCGAACACCTTAGAGGAGTATAGTAGGAGAGTTCAAAAGCAAAGAATAAATCATATTGCTGTTGAGTACTGGTTTTCACACCGAGTCATAAACTCTTGGAACTGACTCCCAGGAGAAGTGGTGAATGCAAACCTCAACTGATTCATTCAACAAGGGTTTGGACATTCACAGAAATTTACTAGAAATGGTTTAGCATAAGCTCCAAGCCTTCTATCCTCAATC